TTGATGCTGACTGTCAGCTTGATGTATATTGTTTTTATTATGTTTGGGTATGTTCCTTGCATCCCTGATCTCTCCAAGACCTTTATCATGAAGGGGTGTTGGATTTTGTCAAAGGCTTTTTCAGCATTTAATAAGATGATCTTGTAGGGTTTTGTTTCTTTCAGTTTGTTTATATAGTGGATTACATTGACAGATTTTCATATGTTAAACCATCCCTGCATCTCTGGGATGAAGCCTAATTGATCATGGTGGATTTTTTGATGTGTTCTTGGAGTCTGTTTGCCAGTATTTTATTGAGTATTTTTGCATCAATGTTCATGAGGGAGATTGGTCTGTAATTCTCTTTCTTTTTTGCATCTTTGTGTGGTTTGTGTACCAGGGTGACTGTAGCCTCATAAGAAGAGTTTGGCAATGTTTCTTCTGTTTCTGTTGTGTGGAACAATTTTAGGAGTATTGGTATTAGTTCTTCTTTGAAATTCTGGTAGAATTTTGTGCTGAAGCCATCTGGCCCTGGGCTTTTTTCCCTTGGGAGACTTTTAATAAATGCCTCTATTCTCTTAGGGATTATAGGTCTATTTAAATTGTTTATCTGGTCTTGATTTAATTTTGGTAAGTGGTATATATCCAGAAAATTGTCCATTTCTTTTTGATTTTCCAATTTTGTGGAGTACAGGTTTTTGAAGTATGACCTGATGATTCTCTGGATTTCCTCAGTGTCTGTTATTATGTCTCACTTTTCATTTCTGATTTTGTTGATTTGGATATTCTCTCTCTGCCTTTTGGTTAGTTTGGACAAGGGTTTGTCTATCTTGTTGATTTTCTCAAAGAACCAACTCTTTAATTAATTGATTCTTTGTATTGTTCTCTTTGCTTCAATTTTATTGATTTAAGCCCTGAGTTTGATTATTTCCTGGTGTCTCTTCCTTCTGGCTGGGTTTGCTTCTTTTTGTTCTAGAGCTTCCAGGTGTGATGTTAATTTGCTTGTGTGAGATTTCTCCAAATTCTTTATATAGGCACTTAGTGCTATGAACTTTCCTCCTAGCACTGTTTTCATTGTGTCCCATAAGTTTGGGTATGCTGTGGATTTTTTTTTTTCATTGAATTCTGGCAAGTCTTTAATTTCTTTATTTCTTCCTTGATTCAGAGGTGGTTCAGTTGAGAGTTGTTCAGTTTCCAGGAGTTTGTAGGCTTTATGTAGTTTGTGTTGTTGTTGAACTCTAACTTTAGCCCATGGTGGTGGTCCAATAAGATACAAGGGGTTACTCCCATGTTTTTGTATCTGTTGAGATTTGCTTTATGACTGAATATGTGGTGGATTTTAGAGAAGATTCCATGTGGTGTTGAGAAGAAGGTATATTCTTTTGTGTTAGAGTGAATTGTTCTGAAGATGTTTATTAAGTCCATTTGAGTCATAACATTTTAGTTCCCTTGTTTCTCTGTTAAGTCTCTGCCTGGCAGACCTGTCCATTAATGAGAGTGAAGTGTTGAAGTCTCCCACTATGAATGTATGGGGGTTTGATGTGTGATTTAAGCTTTACTAATGTTTCTTTTATAAATGCAGGTGCCCTTGTATTTGGGACATAGATGTTCAGAATTGAGACTTCATCTTGATGGATTTTTCCTTTGATGAATATGAAATGCCCTTCTCCATCTCTTTTGATTAAATTTAGTTTGTTAGCTATAAGGATAGCGACTGGCTTGTTTCTTAGGTCTATTTGATTGGAAAATCTCTTCCCAACCCTTCCTCTGAGGTAATGTCTGTCTTTGAAGTTGAGGTATGTTTCTTGCATGCAGCAGAAGGATGGATCCTGTTTTCATATCCATTCTGTTAGCCTGTGTCTTTTTATTCAAGAATTGAGTCCATTGATATGAAGAGATGTTATTGTTAGTTCCTGTTATTTTTGGTGGTAGTGATGGTAGTGTGTGTGTTTTCCTTTTTGGATTTTGCTATAGTGAGATTATCTACTGCCTATGTTTTTTGTGGATCTAACTGAGTCCTTCAGAACTTTCTGTAGGGCTGGATTTGTGGATAAGTATTGTTTAAATCTGGTTTTGTCATAAAATATCTTGCTTTCTCTGTCTATGTTGATTGAAAGTTTTGCTGGGTATAGTAGTCTGGGCTAGCATCCACGGTCTGTTAGTGTCTGTAAAACATCTCACCAGGACCTTCTGGCTTTTAGAGTCTCCATTGAGAAGTCAAGTGTAATTCTGATAGGTCTGCCTTTATATGTTACTTGACCTTTTCCTTTGCAGCTCTTCAAATTCTTTATTTATTCTGTATTTAGTGTTTTGATTATTATGTGGTGAGGGGACTTTTTCTCTTGGTCTAGACTATTTGGTGTTCTGTAAGTTTCTTCTACCTTTACAGGCAGGTCCTCCTTTAGATTGGGAAAGTTTTCTCCTATGATTTTTTTAATATATTTTCTGTGCCTTTGAGCTGGGATTCCTCTCCTTCTTCTATCCCTGTTATTCTTAGGTTTGGTCTTTTCATGGTGTCCCAGGCTTCCTGGATATTTAGTGTTAGGAATTTCTTGGATTTAACATTTTCTTTAACTGGTGAATCTATTTCCTCTATTGTGTCTTCAACTCCTGAGATTCTCTCTTCCATCTCTCAGATTCTGCTGGTTACGCTTCCAGCTGTAGTTCCCGTTCACTCCCGCAGATGCTCCATTTCCAGTATTCCCCAGTTCATGTTTTCTTTACTATTCCTATTCCACTTTTCAAGTTGTGCACCATTTCCTTCACCTGTTTGATGGCTTTTTCTTGGTTTTCTTTAAGGGATTTATTGATTTCGTCCAATTTTTTTGTTTGTCTTTTCCTCGACTTCTTTAAGGGAATTTCATTTCATTTCCTCTTTAACCACCTCTATCATCTTCATGAAGCAATTTTTAAGGTCATTGTCTTGTGTTTCAGCTGCATTGGAATGTTCAGGCTTTGCTGTTGTAGGATCACTGGGTTCCGGTGGAGCCATCTTGCTCTTGCGGTTGTTGAATGTGTTCTTACAGTGGCGTTTACTCCTCTGTTCTTCCTCTGGTGTGGCTTGTGCCTGTGCCTGTGCCTGGTCTTCCAGCTGTTGTGTTTTGATACTGACCTCTGTAGCCTGCTGTTTTAGCAGCTGATGTGGTTTGCACCTGTTCCTATGTAGTCTGCTAGGTTTGTTGGGGGGGGGGGGCTGGCCACAGGGAGAGTGTTCCGGGGCTTGGGGTGGGCAAGGGAGTGGGTCTTGGCAGGGTGGCTGGCGGGGGTGGGGGCACAGCCTGGAGGCAGGTCTCTCACCTGGCTGCAGGCTGGTGGGGACTGCACCAGAGCAGTGGGGTTCCACCAGAGGTAGGGGCAGGGTCCAGCTGCCTTGCTGGTGCTGGGAAGCCCTGACTGTCCTGGAACTCACTCTGTAGACCAGGCTGGCCTTGAACTCACAGAGATCTTCCTGCCCTTGCCTCCCAAGTGCTGAGATTAAAGGGGTGTGCCACCACTGCTTTCCTTACTTTTAGGATAAAAGCATACTAAAATAAATCCTCTTACTTAGATGTGATCAATTTCTTTATTAGAAACCACTAAATTGGAGCTGTTCCATGGTTTTGAAAGAGTCTCTCTAAATGAGCACCACATAATTAAGATTATTATATTCTGTAAGGATTTTGTTCGTTCCCTGTGTGTGGAGATATTGTGTCATTTATATAGGGTACTTTTTCAGTGGGAATTACCAATTTTCATCATACCTTGTATTAGTAATGTGTATCCCAAAACAAGTTTTTTTGTGGCCCAGAAAAGCCAAAGGATTACAATGCATGGACCAGATGATATATTTTGATCCAATTAATATCAGAACTTCAGTTCACAACCAAGACAAGAAAACCTCTCTTGGTCACAAAGTATGAAAGGAGGAAATTCAAAAACATCTGAAAAACATAAGGCTGTGGTGGTAAAGCAGGAACCTGGGGTGCTCCGTGGTTATCTGGATGTGCCCACACACACCTATTGTTAGAGCAAGGCCAACCTGTCTCAACTCCCAGAGCTGGTCTCACACAGCTCTAACCATCTTGTGCTCTATGCTCAGATCCTCAGCTCACTCCAGTCTATATCAGCCTTTTCCAGGCCTGGATCCCTGTCTCTCTCACTGCTGGATCTACCAAATTAAATAATCCTTCTAGATCTTACCAAGCTCCTTGTTTATCTATGGAAAATCCTAAACAACACTGTAGAAAATGCCAGTGGAGTCATTAGCAGGGAAGCCAGTGCTGATCTGATCTTAGTAAGCATTAAATTCAATCCTGAAGCTCTTGTTTAGAGATAAATGACAATACATAATAAACAGGTAACCTATACATGTCATTTGTGATTCATTACGCTTAACTATGTATGACGGTAAGACATGATCATTGAAAACAGGGCAAACATTTGATTTTGAGATTCCTCTGTGACATCCTGGAAGTTTAGGAGAGTCAGAGTGAGTTAATATTAATTCATCAGACTATTCTAACAGATGGCTCCACAGTATCATCAGAAGTCCTAGAGGTTAATGAGATGATGTACAGAAATTCTCCTGGTCAAATATGGCACAGTATCAACCCTAAATAACTACTGTATAACTGTGTATTTGAAGTGCTGTAACTATTTCATGGTAAATGGCTTGTCTGTATTATTTAAAATGGAAAGAAAGAAACCAAAAGATATCTTACCAGAATGCAAAAGAATGTAAGAGATAAGAAAGGATGCAATTTTAGCTCAGTTCAGTCACTGTGGACTTCCTGGAGTCTCAGATCATCCTCAACCACACACCCTCTGCTTTCTTGGTCTTTATTCCTGCTTAGCCCATGTCAATGTGGTGACAGTGTCATTTTTACCCCAAACCAGAAAACGTCCTTAAGTACTGCTGCCTATCAGAAGCAGAGGTGCACTATTGTACAACGCCTGGGAGGTCACTGAGCACTGACCTCCTTCATCCCTTCAAGGACTGTGTCTGCTCTGCTCTCCTCCAACCCCAGCAGCCTTCCTGGAAGATGCCACCAGTCCTGATTCTCCTGACCTTGTTTCTGCCACTTGGAGCTGGTGCAGGTGAGTGAACATCCCTGTCCCAGCACTGCCATCCCATAATACCTCTGCAGACTCTTTGCCCAGCTCTAGTCAGAAACTGACCTGCACCGAACCGGGAGGTTTCTGAATCTCAGGTCCCATACCACATCCAGACCTGGAAATCTGTCACTGGCTAGATTTTCAACAAGGTCTGAAGAAGGGAGGTGTCCTCAGGAGACTTGGTGGGCATTAGCTTTTCCCTGCTCTTCTTCCTCACCTGAAGTGATGATAATCCCTAAAAAGGGAAGTAGCAGAGAATGCAAAGAAAATATAAAGTACACATTAACCTTCCTTGAGCCCAGGGCAAGGGCAGCTTTAATGACCAGCCTGCAATGGTGTAAGGCCACCAGCTCAAGAACATTAGCATCATTTAGTAACCTCCACCCTCAGCCTGCTGAAGAAAGAGGACCTGGGTGACAAGATAGCTTTGCTGTCCTGCTTTGGTGGTCTCTCCACTTCTTCCTGTAGGTCCCCAGCTCTTCCCATCTTTGCTAGGACACTCCTCCATGTTCCCAGGCTCTGAACCCCATGAGCTCAAGTAGTACTCATTCATTCATGCAACCAAAAGCATTTCCTGAGAATACACATTATGTTGGGCATCAGAATAAGAGAATTTTAGAAAAACCTCCTCCATAGAGCTTGGGGCTCGGGGGAGGTGAGAAAATAACAACAACCAAGACATTGGTGGGATTGGGGAGACTCACTAACAAAGAAAGGCTCAAGGCAAGCCACCCAGGACCTGCTTGGTCACTAGCATCATGAAGACAGAGCTGGTCCATCCGTGTATTTGTAAAGCAGGGGCTGGAGGACAAGTGTCACCCGCCCCTGCAGGAGCTCTGCAGAATTAGATTCAGCAAAGATTATTCTATGTGCAAGGAATTCTATCCACCACAGGCTTGGAGAACTGCAGATCCCATAGCCTTGACCTTCTCCTTAGATCTTCCCTCTTGACTTCACCTGCTGCTCCCAGACACCCCATATTCTAGCCTTTTCTTTCAGAGGAGATCATCGGGGGCCATGAGGCCAAGCCCCACTCCCGCCCATACATGACATTTATTGAATCTCTGCATGTTGGTGGGAATAGAAGTCGCTGTGGAGGCTTCCTGGTACAAGACAACTTCGTGCTGACAGCTGCTCACTGCCTGGGAAGGTGAGGAGAAGCAGCTGGCCCGTGTTTTCTGAGACCAACATCAGATGTTTCCATCCTCTACTTGTGGATGCTCCTGTGAGAGCACACTAGAGGGCAGGACTGTGAAAACGGAAGTCTGAAAACAGGGACACTGAGGTCAAAGGTGAGAGGTCAGAGCCAGCAGCACACTTGAGGAGAAAGCAGCCACCCTGGCCAGACTGGAGTAGTGGCTGAGGTTGAAAGGACGCGTTGAGAGTTACTGAGGGCTGTGGGAGTATACAGCAGGTGACGACTAGTGTTTGACAAGTCCACCCATCAGATGTATAACTCCCTAATGGCGAGATCCACCTGGCAAAGCCGTAGCGTCACTGGCTGTGGAAATCGGTTGTTTTCTGTCTGTAACTTTCTCATGGGCCACCATTATACCTCACTATAAGAATAGCTATCAGGTGCTTTCCACGCCCCTTTGGTGGTGTGGTTGACATCTTTGGGCACGCTTACAGTTGTGGATGGTCAGGTTACGATTTCTGTTTAAACTGTATAATTTTGATGTATAGAAACTGCACTAGGATATTTTATATTATTCGGACTGACAGGATTCTCAGTCACAAAGACAGCCTTTTACACAGACAGCTAACTTTAGACTTTAGAGCAGATTCAAAGCAGACTGGTTGACCATAGAGACAAATACACAAAGTCATTTTTCCAGGTGTAGTTTGCTTATTTGAGGTCAGAGCTTGAAGCAACTTTAGACATAACTTTCTCAGTACCTGACTTTTTTTTCCCCCCGAGACAGAGTTCTCAGTGTTGTTTTGGTGCCTGTCCTGGATCTCACTCTGTAGACTAGGTTGGCCTCGAACTCACAGAGATCCTCCTGGCTCTGCCTCCCGAGTACTGGGATTAAAGGCGTGCACCGCCACCGCTGCCTGGCAGTAATTGACTCCTTGCATTTAGTCCCAGCTTCAGTTGATGCTACAGGCTCAAGGTTCAGCCGACTGTTTACTTACTGTCTGGGACCCCTCACCAACTTAGAGCTATGTGCATGGGTCAGTGTGACATTACTAGCCGAAGAGAAACTTCACTTATCTTGTGTTTTGAGAATGGGCAGGGCCCTGAGAAATGTAACTTATAATTGTCCAGAGTTTGGCTGAGAGAGCAGCAGCAGCAGTGTGGAGGGAGACAGCTGTGTAGAGCTATATGAGAGCTGCTGCAGAATGTGAGTGAAGTGTGTGTGTGTGTGTGTGTGTGTGTGTGTGTGTGTGTGTGTGCACGCTGGGTGAGAGATGAAGGAGAAGAAGAAGAAGAAGAAGAAGAAGAAGAAGAAGAAGAAGAAGAAGAAGAAGAAGAAGAAGAAGAAGAAGAAGCATGAGAGAAGTGTGAGGGAGTGAGTGGGTGAAGGGGTGAGTGAGCAAAGAGTGAGTGAATAATGTAGAAGTATGTGTGTATATGAGTGAGTGTGAGAGAAAGCTGTGTGAACATCTGCTGCTAATAGAGGAGCTGTGCCTGGGAACTGTGTAAAGTGCTGTATGGTGAGAGAGCTATGGAAATGAGATGTTTAGCTGTGGCTGTGTGGAGATTTGTAACTGTGGAGGGAAGGAAGGTGAAGCTGTATGGAAAACAGATGTAGAAGAGAAATGTATGTAAAAGAAAGATGTGTAGTCACGTGAAAACAGATGTAACTGTGTATAGAGATGTATGGCCCTATGTACGTAAAGAAAGACATGTAGCTGTATGTATAGAATGTAGCAGTGTGGAGATATGTACAACTTCGGAGACAGAAAGAGTCAGAGACCCTCTTTAAGATGAAGAAAAAGATAAGGTTAACATCAGAAAGCATCTGTATTTCCTTATTTCAGCAATCATAGGTAGATTAAAACTAATTCCTAAAAGCCTCAGATAGAAAAAGTCTAGGCCTCACTGCCTTTATGGATCTTCTTCCATTACCCTGGAGGTGGTCAGAGGGCAGGCTCTCCAGAAGGCTCCCGGAAAAGAGTCTGTGCAAACTTTGGAATATTTCCTAGAAGCAAGAGGGAGCCTCCAGGACTCTATGTCCTTGAGAAGCAGAGCAGCAGGTCAAACCCTGAGGCCCTCCTGTCTCCTCAAGTCCCCTCAGCTAGAGCCCCTCCCTGCCTTTTACACCTCTTGGACTGTGTCCTCTCTCCCTCCACATCTCTCATCTCCACTCTGCTCTCTACAGCTCAATGAGAGTCACTCTGGGGGCCCACAACATCGAGACAAAGGAGAAGACCCAGCAGATCATCCGTGTGGCAGAAGCCATCCCACACCCAGCCTATAACGATAAGGACTGGTCCAATGACATCATGCTCTTGAAGGTGAAACCCGCCACCCCCCCATCCACACACCTCCACCCACACCTCACCCACCCCTGGTGCCTCTGCTTAATGCAAGGCTTGCCCCTCCCCTCCTGCTCTCATCCTGCTTCTTCCCTCCCTGCCATCCTGGTTGTCAAAGTGTCCCAGGTCAGCAGGCTCCTGGCTGAGCTGGTCTCTCCTGCCTCTTCCCTATCAGCTGCAGAGGAAAGCCAAGAGGACGAAAGCTGTGAGGCCACTCAAGCTGCCCAGGGCTAATGCCCAGGTGAAGCCAGGGGACGTGTGCCACCTAGCTGGCTGGGGGGCAACATCCCTCAATGCCACCAAAGGAGTAGCCTCCCTACAAGAGGCTGTATTGATCATCCAGGACGACCAGAAATGCAAACTCCGCTTCCACCGCTATATCAAGACCATTCAGATTTGTGCTGGAGACCCAAAGCAAATACAGGCTGCTTTCAAGGTGGGAATCAAGCATTTAACAGGCAAAATGCAGGGAGAGAGGAACGTGGGGGAGGCCTGGGTGTGAGAATGACTAAACCCTCAAGCCCTAGAACCAAAGAGGGACATCACAGAAGTCAGGCCTCCCAGAGCCCTGATCCTGAGGGAATTTGAAAGCCTGTCCTGGCCCCGATCTAACAGTTAACCTTCCCAGGAGGAGGTACAGACAGCAGAGCCAAGGGAACCAGGCTCAGTTTTTCCTTTCCCTGCCCACAGGGTGACTCTGGGGGACCCCTCGTGTGTGACAACAGAGCTTATGGAGTTTTAGCCTATGGAAAAACCAAGAGCATTGCTCCAGGAATCTTCACTAAGGTTGTGTCCTTCCTGCCGTGGATACGAAGAAGCATGAAGCCTTGTAACAGGTGCTAAAACCAGCTGTTCCTACCAGGTTGTCTGGCCACAGGCCAGAACCACATGGAGTGGGCAGCAAAGGTGAAAACTCATAATAAATTGATCTCCTCGGTGAATTCAGCTGAAGTCCTTTATTGTTTGAACCTCTCTCGTGTGCACCTCGGTGGTCCAGGCAGCCTCGCCTGTCAGTTCTGGGCTTTTCTTCCTCCTTCTTTCCCAGCCCCTCCCTCACCTGGAACTTCAGGCTAGACAATTTCACATATTCATCACCCCATACATGGTGGGGTGAGTGGGTTGTTTGTTTGTTTTTATTTTTGAGATAGGATCTCATTACATAGCTCTGGCTGGCCTGGACTTTACTATATAGACCAGCCTGGCCGTTAACTCACAAAGGTCTGCTGCATCTGCCTCCTCAGTGCTGGGATTAAAGGTGTGTGCTATGACATCCAACCATACACATATTTCAATACCCAGCTCTTCAAGGTTGGCTTTCTCACCACACAAGCCCTCCAGAAATGAACCTCCCCAGGACTAGAAAATCCCTACCATCTCTAAACCACCTTCATCAAGTCCCCAACTCTTTCCAGAGAATCGAACAAAGCATTGGGGTGAAGGGAGATTTGACTCTGGGAATTAAAAAGGCCATGGGCCATGCCACTGGATATGTTTCTTATTTTCAGGACCTCCCATCTCACTAGCAGGGCAGGGCACTCTCACCACCTGAACTGTCTGCAGTCTAGGAGGCTGAGACATCCCTCTGGTGGCCCCAGGCTCACCTGGGTGCCATTTCCCCACCCAGCAAGGATCTCGGGCAGCCTCTGTCCCCCTTGTTGGTTTTCAAGTGTTTTCCACATGACTTCCGCTATCCACCAATAGTTTCTGATCCAGCCCCACTTCCCCAGCCCTGATTTAAACCAGCCTTTTTACTCATCTACCTATAAGTTCCAAACACGTGGAATCTCATTTACCTCTTCATCCAGCTAGACATAAGCTGCCAGTCACCTGATGCTCACCCTTCCCACCTAGGCCAGCTGGCTGAGCCCTGTTCTAGCCCGAGTCTTCCATGGAGAGGCTCAGCCATGATCTCCAGTCACTCAACAACCCTCGTCCAGCCTGGAAACGCTGCTTCCCCTGCTGGCAACATGAGTTATAGCAGTTTGTGAACGAGAGGGACCCAAGGGATGCTAGGCTGGAATCATCAACCAACACTGTGGATCCCGGTTTTGGGTCAGCTATACAGTAGATTCCTCCTTCCCTTTCATTGTCATGTTTCATAGACAGGTCAATGTGGCACAAATGGATCTATATTTAGAATTCACAAAAAAGTCATATTTTAAGAATGATTAAATTCTCTACATTTTAACAGTGTCATGTGCATGGCCTTCTTTGGTTCAGAAAAGCAATGTGTGTAATTTGAACAAAGCTGGAAGGCCTCCAGTGTTGGGGTTTTCAATGTATCTCCTGTGGAGCCCTCATTGAAAGAGATGGGCCAGAGAAAGACAAGTGGAGGGGGCGCTGTTCCTTGCTTCAGGTTCAAGCCACAGACCCGCCACTCCTGCTGAAGTAGAAGGCGGTTCATTGTGACCCATGTGACCCATGTGACCCTATTTCAGTCCCTCAGCCACCACTGAATTATACTTTTAAAGTTCATGTAGTCTTGGGTGTTGGCTTTGTCTGATTCTGTGTATGTAGCTACTGTGTGTCATGTATCACTCACCAGCGGTGCGGTTTGAAGGACCTAATTTTTTTTTCAGTTTGTCTGTTTTGATTTTCATTTTCTGAAGGTTGTTGAGGGAGTATGATTTTTTATTTTTACTTTGGGTTTTGATTTTGTTTGTTCGTTTGTTTGTTTTGAGAGAGAGAGAATGTGATGTTGAGTGGGTAGGGAGATGGGGAAGGTCTGGGAAGAATTGAGAGGGGAAAGAATATGATCGAAACGTATGGTATGAAAAAAATAAAGAAATTAGCAATGACATAATAGAATTTTATAATTAAAATATAGATTTATTGAAATGAATAAGAATAATAACTGAAAATAGCTCTTCCTCCCTTCTTCCACCAAGTCCTGGGAGTGAAATTTCAGCCCTTGAGACGTGGACAGTAGTAAGTGTGCATGCAGTAGGGCACCGTAGAAAGATGCTAGAGCTTCATGCTCTGTGTGGAAATGAGCTAGCTTCCGGCCATGGGTCTCTGCCTAGACTCTTAAGGAGCAAAGAGACATAAACTTGGTGTCTATGGATGAAGCTACTCCTCCTCTTCATCCTCCTAATCCTCCTCTTCTTCATACAGCAGTTATCCTATGCTTAACAATGAAATAGCGCAATATTCTGAGGTTTTAATGCCAGTTACTGCCCTTTTTGCAATCTGTACCTATCTGTATGACATTGACACACTTTTCTTCTGTAATTATTGAATTCTGATTCTTGTGTTTAATCCAAATCAATATTTAAATCTTATTTCTCATTATAACATAAATAAATGTATTTGGAAGTTTTCTAATGACTTCTGGAACTTTCCTACTGTGTTATCTTAGTGTGTTAGCTTATACAGGAGATGAACTTTAGCTTTCTCTCTCTCTCTCTCTCTCTCTCTCTCTCTCTCTCTCTCTCTCTCTCTCTCTCTCTCTCTCTCTCTCCCTTTTATTGACAACAGATCCTTTTCCTCACATAATGTAACCTGATATTGGTTTCCTTTCTTTCTGCTCCTCCTCCCCACTTCCCTTCCCATCTGGATCCACTCCCTTTCTGTATCTAATTATAAAATAAATCTAAGGGATTAGAATATAATATAGGATAAATTAAAATTTAATACCTTAGAATTGGATAATACAAACAGAAGTAAAAGAGCCCAAGGAAAACCACAAGGATCAGAGACGCACTCATTCGAACACTCAGGAATCTGCTGCAGGGGGAAGTGATAATGGCGAGCAAGGCACTGATTTATATAACAGTGTCACTAGGAGTCATCTTATTGCTATGTTTTGTTTTTGTTTGTTTGTTTAGAGCAGTAGTATTTGGTTTTACCCTAGGTCCCAGGGCTATCTAGTCTCAGGTTCTAGGTCACTCAAGCAGTGTCAGATATGGTTTCCAAATTGAGGGGCGGGCCTTAAGTCAAATCAGATATTCATTGGTTATTCCACAAGATTTGTGCCACCATGCAGGCAGGTCAACACTGTCGATAAGGGGTTTGTGGCTGGCTTGGTGTGTATGTTCTCATTTGGTAGCATGCACATTACCTTCCTACCAAAGGCACTGGAATGTAGGGGTGAAGGCTCTGTGTGGGCATAAGCTTGACTTTTCCACGTTCAAAGAGTTGAGTAGGAGCCTTGCTGTCAATTTGTGAGGCACAATCTATAGTCTTGGCAACAGCCTGGGTTTCCCATGGAAACCCTTTGGCCAACAACTCAGTTAAATAGAACTCAGTCCTGGTACTGGAAGCTTCATTTAGTGACAAGAAATGTCCAGTTAGGGATCTGTCTCCCACATTTGAGGAACTTGCCGGAGTCCATTTTGAAGGCAAGAGCCATTGTGCTATATTGTTAAAAATGTTTCCATTTACTGTAAGAGCTGAGTTACTGTTTTTAAGTCTGTTCCCTGGCTTCACTAGAATGCCCCAGAAAGGCACTTAGCGACATGAAACCTACGTCTACCACACACTCCTCTGGTTTAAGGCTCATTTGTCTCACTTTAGAGACAGCAGAGTGACAAGGGAATGGTATTTAAGGGTTCCCCCCCATAAGTTTTTTACTATTATCATTATTTAATGAAATCACTTCGTAGTAATGAACTCAAAAACACCACACCGCTTGACGACAGCAGCCACTAGACACATCCTAAATTCTTTTTTCCCCCCAATCTAACGGGGGTTTTTATCTTTTAGTCTTTGTGTGGTAGATGAAGTTTAGATGAAGTTTATTGATTTCCATAGTGGCTGTACAAGTTTGCACCCCCACAAGCAATGGACTAGTGTTCCCCTAAATCCACATCCTCCACAACAAGCTGTCACCTGTTTATTGATCTTAGCCATTCTGATGGGTGTAAGATGAAATCTCAGAGTAGTTTTGATTTGCATTTCTCTGAGGACTAAGGATGTTGAACCTTTAAGTGTTTCTCAACCATTTGTTTTCTCTTATGAAATAAAATTTTTTACTTCTTTATATATTTTGGGTATCAGTCTTCTATTGGATATGGAGTTGGTAAAAATCTTTTCCCATTCTTTAGTCCACCACTTTGTCCAAATGACAGTATCCTTTGCCATACAGAAGCATTTCAGTTTCATGAGTTCCAATTTATTGTTGATCTTAGTGCCTATACTAATGGTGCTCTATTTAGAAATTCTTTTCTTATGTCAGTGAGGTCAAGGCTATTTCTCTTCTATCAGTTTCAGTGTATCTGGTTTTATGTTGAGGTCTTTGATCCATCTGGGGTTGAGTTTTGGACAGGATGATAAGTATTATACTGAATAGATATGGAGAGAGCAGACAACTTTGTCTTGTTCCTGATTTTAGCAGAATTGTTTTGAGTTTCTCCCCATTTATGTTGATGTTGTCTGTCTGCTTACTACAAACTGCCTTTATTATGTTGAGGTATGTCCCTTGTATCCCTAATCTCTCCAGGACTTTTATCATGAAGGGGTGTTGAATTTCGCCAAAGGCCTTTTCTATTATCTAATGGAATGATCCTGTGGTTTTTGTCTTTCAGTCTGTTTAGATGATAATTGGACATTAATGATGTAAGACCCCTTACTTAGCTGCTGAACTGCACATGCAGCTGGAGGAGGCATCTGTGGTCTCTTAGAATCTGTAGAACTTCTGTCCAGGCCCTTCTGGCTTTTAGAGTCTCCATTGAGAAGTTAAATGTAATTCTAATAGGTCTGCCTTTATATGTTAGTTGGTCTTTTTCCCTTGCAGCTTTTAGTATTCTTTCTTTGATCTATATGTTTAGTATTTTGATTATTATGTGCCAAGGGGACTTTCTTTTCTGGTCCAGTCTATTTGGTGTTCTGTATGCTTCATGTAC